TCCCGTGGCGGGCTCCGACCGGAGCCGCCAGAGCTGCAGTGGGGCCCCACCCGCCGTGAGGGGGCAAGGGCCCCGTCCTGACGCGCCGTGAGGGGAAGAGGGCTCCGGCGTGAGCCCTCCTGAGGGAAGCGAGCCCCGTCTGTTGCTCAAGGCAGTGTTTGGCCTTAGGCGGAGGCAGCTGACGGGTGTGCCTTGTTACCGGCCCTCCGCAGGATGAATACTGACAGTAAAATTATTAGTCGTGAGCAGAGTAGCTCCCACTGCCTTCTGGAGAAGGCTGTAGTGGTATGCGGTGGGTGCCCAGGGCGGTGTTACATCCCCCGCCCCGACTGAGATAGCCCCTGAGGAGCAAAATTCCTTGGAGACAGCTCATAGTAAAAACCAACAAGGTTAGCTCATTGCAAAAAAGGAGGATGAAGTCACTGGACATCCTGCAGAAATAACTCCTACACCTGCTTCAGAAAGATTTACACTGCGTCATTAGAGGGAAGGGGGAAGGCTGCAGATGGGCTCTGGAGATCACCAGACACTGAACTTTCTGAAGCTGACAAAAGGGGAGTTCAGTCTACAGAAGGAGTACTGTGCTGTATTCCCCATAAACATCCCACTTACACTAATCTCAAGCTGCTCATGGGTCCAGCAGGGAGAAGAATTAGGCTTGGCCATTGAGAGTATGGATTTTAGCTTTCAGGATCCAGAAGAAGCTTGTCTCTTTTCTTCCCTCCAGTTTGCAAGGTGAATATTGGTCCTGCCTGCAAATCTTCAGGACACAGCAGACGAGCTTAATCTGGAAGTCTAGAGGCAAAGACCTTTAATGCTCTAAATTACCCAGGGCTTGTTAAAACAGTAGGCGTAGAGCCTTTCTCAGCATCTGCTATTAGGGCCAGACCTTTACTGATGGACAGTACTAGATAGCACCAACATCTGAAGGGCAAGTGCATATATAGCCAGGTAAATAAGGAAACTAAGGCCTTAAACACAAATCCCATCAGAGGCATATTATGAGGTAATTTAGTATCCTCTTAGGTGCTATGCTTTCCATGAATCAAGTTACTGACACATAAATGACTGTGAATAAATCTGATTATTTTGCTTTGCCGGCTATGTGTATCTGTAGGCTTTGCATGATATTCTATCTTAGCAAACTTTTAAAGTTAACTGTAGTAATGTTTTTTCTGTCAAAAATGGATTAGATTGGGAGTGTATTCTGAAGAAATACTTTTTTCTGTTACTAACCCTCAGAAATGTCCCATATCTTTCTACCACAGCTCATCTAATTTAGGTCTATCAAAATTGATTCAAAGATGTTGCTGTGTAATGGCTGATTATATTAGGTATTAATGTAAGTTGAAGTTCTCCTGTGTGGATGGAGCCCCTTAAAACCACTCCTAGTGTTTAGGCAGATCAGTGTCTGCATATCCAGTATAGATGCACAAAGACTGCACATGGAATTGGAATTGCTTTCCATCAGAGATAACCTGTTCAGGAGCGTTATTTACAGTCTTAGATTGTCAAGACTTGAGTTGGTTATCTGTGCTGTCTGCCTAAAACTTAATTGCTGTGTTAATCTGAGTGTAACTTTTCATTGTCCTTCATTTGCCCTAAGTGGATTTTGGTAGCTATTACAATAAGAGTCTTCATACATTGCTAAAGCCACTTTTATTGTGTTCATGTTTAAAGTTTTCAGAATGACTTCCTTGGTTGACATGCCCTTGAATTATGAAAAGATGTTTGCTCATCGATTCACATCAGATGATGAAGAATACCAAGAATATGTGAAACGCCCTGCTGATCCCCCTCCTATAGTTGAAGAATGGAGAAACAGATCTGGTGGCAACCAGAGAAATAGAGATCGGTACTGATTTCTTTTTTTGATCTTTCACAAATATATAGTTAAATGATCATTTATTTCAGAAGAAAGATAGGAATTTGTTCTGTTAATAGAAGTATCTTCTTGTTACTTCATAGGTAACTGTGTTAAAGAGAAATACTCTTCTCTGAAATGTAATGAGATTTTACATTTTCTCTGTATTGACAAAGTTTTTGCATTGTGAATAAAAGTATTAAGTAATTTGCTGTTTAGTAAGGAATGAGCTGGAACCACCAAACCCATTTGCCCTGGAGTTTGTTACTGCTCAGCCAGGAACAGATGAGAGTTCTGCAAAACTAAGCAGCCTGTCTTCTGTTGGATAATAACCAGCAGGAAAATGTGTGAAGGAACAGCCTCATAGTGTGATTATCTGTGGCTAGCTGTCCAGAAAGATGTTTCGTTTTTAACCTAAATATTTGCTGTACATTGTTAGATTAGCCTGTATTTCTTTTATCTAGCAGAAACGACTGTAAAATCCATCAGGCAATCTGTCTAGCAAATGCAGTGTTACCTGCCTACTGCAAAGTATTTTTAATTATTTCTTCAGGATGTAATTGCAGCTTTTTACTGAATTCTGGACAGTAACATCTGATTTTTGTGTGATTGAAAAACCATGATTACAGCATATAGTATGCTTGGTAACACTACCATCAGCCTTTAATATAAAGTAGTTAAACTCCAGTCCAACTAACAGTTGGGAAGACTTCTTAGCTAAATATGTAAATAGGATTTGTGCCTTATCTGAAGAAAAGAAGGGCAACATTCTAACTTTTTCTCAACCTAGAAGCTTATCATTGAGTTAAACACAGAATCGGTTTCTACAGATTAAAAAAAAAAGGTGATTGTTTAAGGAGACATTCTTACAAAACTTTGTGGTTCTTTGAATTAATGAACTCTTACATGTACACTCTGGTCACAGAGTGAACCTCACGTAAATGTCGTTTGTCTACACCACACCATTGAGTTATCTAAAGAAAATGACTGTGAGGCAGCTCAAGTGTTGATAGGAATTGAGATACAGCTGAAAAGCCAAAATTTAGACTGAACAATGGCTAAGTACCACTGATAAAATACACTCTTTTGAGTATGTGAATCTATAAGAGACCATGAAGCAGTGGTAGTATGTATGTTAGGGAATATGCAAATTCCAGGACTCTATGCTGTTGGGTAGCTAAATTTGGGTAGCTAAAGCCTGCTTTGCCACAGCTTTCAACTGTGAAGCTACTAGATTGAACCTGGCTTTGATACAGCTACGGATGTATCTGCTGGTTGTTTTTTAGATAGATCGTCTGTTTGAGTCTCTATTCAGAGCTCCAGCAGTTCACCTAATGGCTGTGAATGCTTTGTGTTAGAAAACAGACTGTCTTTCTATCGCTTAGTATATAGTGTGTTGGGTAGCAGTAAGAAATTAATTATATCAGATAATCATAGATACGTTTTCATCAGTTTGTCATAAAAACAGATAAGTAATTGAGTGTATAAACAGTTACATGACAGTTTTCATGAAAACTGTAAAATCTAAGAGTTCATTATCATTCATCTTTTTAAAAACTCACAATTTATGTGAATCTTTGACATTTCTTTTCATTGCAGGTTTCAAGATGGTAGATATTTTAGAGGGGACAGATACAATTGGCAAGGTGACTATAGATCTAACCAGAGGCCAGAAAGAAGTTGGGGTAATAACTACCAGCAGCACAGACAAGGACAATCGTACTCCCACTACGGACAATATGGCTACAACTCCTACAACCCAGGGCCTCGTTATCATCCCTACTGATGCTACTTGTGGTTTGAAAGTCCAGTAATGCTGTGTAACAAATTCAGTTAGACTTCAGTTTTCTTATTTTTCCACAGTTTTATAGATAACTGAAGAATCAGTATTACAGTCCATTATTGTTTATCTGTAGTGTGAATTGAAAAAGGGAATACCTTTTATGAATAATAAAAGTGTATTGTACAGAGTTTGTTTAGCGTCTGTAGATCTTAGATTAAATTTCCAATCTCATTCTTTTGTCTGAATACATACTAGTACACTTCTTTTCTTCCATGACTGAGATTTCTCTGTCACATTTTAGAAAACACAACAGGTCAGGAAAAAAGCTGTGGTTTGTGTAGCAGTGGCACACTGCCTTAAGATGGTTCTTTTTGAAAGTGACTTTCTCTGGAGAGAATTTCTTGGTTTGGCTTTTGATAGTGAGAAAAGATCAGTTTGGTTTGAATTTCAGATGCCTTAAAACTGAGAAGAGAGATGCTATTACAGAAATATTTTATGGGGTAAGCATAGTGTCTGTTGACTCAATGTCTTCGATTTATTTGCAGTATTCATCTTAAAACATGGTCTAAAAGTTGGAATAAAAATTAAGTAGTTTAAATGTGTATCTTCTTTGTAGTAATTCAGTGATACACAAGTTTTACCTGAGAAGTTATATCAAACTTAGATTAATTTGTATCATCTTAAAATAAGTTTGGTATGTGCATAGCAAATTTTGGAATTCCCATTTCAGTGAAGCTGTAAAATTTTGATGGTAATTGTAATTAGTTTGTATTAAATACTTTGTGCATGTTATAGAAGAAAGGAACCATAATCAGTACTGTTCTGCACTGGTTTTGCGTGAGAAAAGAGCATAAGCAGTGCAGAGTGTTACTCAGAATTTAAGTTCTGTGTTCTGTGGTTTTTTTAAGTATTCACACAATAAAAGTATAGTTCATGTGCAAGGATGTTTCTGAATATTTCTGAAACCTACCTTTGAAACATTCACAATTGCCACACTCTCATCTAGGCCGACAGCTGCACAAGCAGCAGTACTAACAGAGAAGTGTTAATACTGGACAGCTGTTGGTTTAAGTTAGAAGAATGGCCTACTCAGCTACAATCAAGAGGATGAGACACATTGTGATTAATTAGAAGTCTGGAGTGTTAATCCACTATCCTACATTCTACTACAATAGGGTCAAAGTTCTTTATGTCACCATTTCCATGATAAGCTAATTTGCATCAGGGGAACAGTGCATTTGTTTGTACTTGACATCTTCAGCTGTTGTACAGATACACAGAACCATCCATGCTGACTGTTGTAAAAGTCATGACATTATGTGATAAGCAGTGCAAATTAGTGCATCTTGATTTAAGAATAAAGAAGTCAAAAGCAGAGTCTCACAGCTCGTAAGATGCTTTTAAGAGCTAAAGGGTACGTTTACTGTTGGTCTTAGAAACACACACTGTAGGTAGCTTTTACATAGTCGGTGATACAAAAGCTGTGACGCAAGTGTCTGCACCTACCTGCTAAGTATTTGTTTTCTGCTTTCCATATAATATTGTTAACTCTGATACAGTTTTTGATATCCTACTCTCTGAAGTATTTGCCTTGAATTCAGCTGTTTAACCTTGGAAATCACTTAGCGAGAGGTTTGTTTTTCCTTCAGGAGTTCTAGTGGATGAAATGTACCCTTTGTAACCCTCATAAATACGGCAGAGCTGTTACACTGGGGGATATAAGATCATGCAAAGTTCTTATCTGTGCACTATGGAGAGCCTGCAAGTTGGTATGGTGGAATTCCCTTTTAATGCAGGACCGCATGCAAAGTGCCAGATACCCCAGACTCCCACCTCCAAGAAGGGAGTGCATCTCTTTCTGCAAAGAGCCTGACACTGCCAGCTACGCCACGGAAGTCAGGCTGTGCCAGGATGATGTTCTTCGTTACCATCTGGAGCAGCATCTCAGGTTGAAGTAAAACCTGGCAAAAGGAACAGATTCTGTCTCATCTGTTGCCTTTCCTTAAGCCCAATGGCTATTTTATTTTTAGTGTCTAAGTTAGTGAATAAAGAATCTACAACATTGTGACCAGACTGTAGAAGCAGATAGATTAGGATTGCTGAAGTGGAAGTTAAGACTTAGGATCACATATTTCATGATCTCAGCTCTCTTATTCCAAGTTTCTTGATGGTAAGACCAGGAGAGACACGGGCCAGTGCAGCTTCCGGCTTTCTGTCTTTACATTCTTGACTCCATCTGCCTCACCATTAGAGCTCTCAACTCAACTTTAAGGACCTGTATGATTTACAAAACTTTTCCTTGGAACAATTATGGCAAGAATCTAATTCTTTTGGGGGGAATACATTTCTAAATAAACACATACCTTGCACTGGACAGAAAAGTAAATAGAATTCAAAAATATATTGCCTCCAGCAGTTTCCACTTAGATGAATGAGTATTTATAATAAAGACCAGTTTACTGTTTCTGTCAAGCTAAATAAAACCAGTAAGTATTGCCTGCAATTATGGTTTGTGCATTACAGAGTGTTACAGATGACAAAACTGAAGCTGGGTAACTAACATTTGCAACTTCAAAAACTACAGAAATTGTTTGTTTTAACTATGCTGGAGATTGCAGGGTAAACATTAAAATTCAGCATCTGGAATCTGACTTTAAGAGATCCCTTCCATCTGACATTTGCTCAGACATCATTATTTTGATGAATAAAACAAACGAAAAATAAGTGTTATGTATTAAAAAATGACTGCCACATTACCAAGAGTTTGAACACCCCAGAAGCTCTGAATATGGCTCTTGCAGCAGTTCTAAATCTGTTCCTGAACACATAGAGCAATTTTGTATGGACTGTTAATTGATTCAGAAGAATTACCATGCTAAATTACAGGTGCTGTGGCAAACAACTAAGAACACTCAGTAGCTTTTATACAATTTCTTAACCAGAATTTAAAAAAATCGTAAAGGCTTTCAAAGCACAGCTAAGCCACTAGATACCTGAAAGCAAAAGAAAGTGCATAGTTAAAAAAAAATCATCTTAGTGTGATTTGTGAGATACAATTTTACAAGTGTTCACTGCTATTCAACCTCTATTTTATCCTAGCTCTGCAGCTGGGAATAGAAATGTGCAGACCTGCTTTGAAAGGTTAGTTAGAAGCTGAACTACTTTCAAGACTCTCTAGTAGAGATTTCAGACAGGGAAGACAAGTGTCATTTCTGTATAATCAACATTCAACTTCCAGAACAAAAAAGGTATTTATTGTTTAAATATATCTGAATATATTGCAGGAGTTATATATTTGCATATATTTAAACTCATACTATTAATTTGCTAATAAATATTTTGCTTGACCAAGAAACATGTTTGTATTTCCTTCTAACACTTCTTAGATACTGGAAGGAAAATTCTTTTTGTATCAAATTTAAGCTAAGGTTTTGCCTGCCACCACCCCTGATCCTCAGGAAAAACCCAAATCCCTGAATTATACAACTTGGTGAATTTTGTTAGCTGATCGAACTTGTCCAGTCAGACCTTCTCTAAGTCTGACAAACAAGAGGGTAGGAACATGGAGCAAGGAGGAAGGGAAAGCAGGACTGCTCCTTACAGCAGCTACTGACTGCCTTAGGAGCAATTGAACAACACTGCACCTCCCTTGCCTTTCATTTGCCAATCAGGAAAAATTACTATAATCTGTCCCCTTGTCCGGGTATGTTAGAAGAGAACTATATAACCCTGCTTAAATTATGCACAGTGCTGATACGCTAATGACCAGAAGCTAAGCAAGATTATAGGGCAGATCAGTTTTCCCTGAAAGTACCGAGGAAATATGCAGCCTGGTTCGAGACACGTGGAGGTAAATGCTACAGATCAAAACAGAGTCCAGCAGCTCCAGTGCTGCCAGGAGGACGGCAACTGTACTATGGTGGTGCACAACGATCTTGCCTCTCAAGAGGATTATTTTTTCATTAGGCCCTGCAGGCTGGAATTTATTTTTGTGTTTACCGTGGCCTATATTTTTCTTCAGTAAAGCACAGACTGCACTTGGTGGTTGTCAGTCCTCATTTCTCATGAGAAACAGTGATGCCAAAGTGTTATTTCTATACAGCTTACCCCCTGACTTTCTAAGTACTCTGTCCTGTTAAAATGCAAATTTATTACAAGAGATGGTAAAAGTTGGTAATAATTATGTTTTACTCCAAGTCTAATAAACAGAACAGGAAAAATCACATCATCAAACCCAATGGTTACTTCTTGTGTTATTTGTGACTAGCAGGAATACAAATGAATGTTGTCTTTATCGTAACACAGAGATGCTTTTTTTTCAAATAATACTTCAGCAGCTGGATGACTTTTTTCCACAAGTATAGGGCTGTCTTCTTTCGTTTTTTTTTTTTGCATTTTGTGTAATTCAAACTTTGCTTCACTAATAAAAGATGTATCAATAACAAGTATCAAAGCTGCTCCTGCTTATTGTTTGATGAAAAAACTTCTCTATTCAAAAGATGACTTAAAGTTAAGAAAACAACTTATTTGTTATAGAACTACAAAAATAACCAAGGCCCAACCTTATCCATGAAAAAAATTATCTTCAAGGATTCAAGCAGAATCTTCAAACTGAAACATGTTACATATTAATAGAATGACTAAGACACTAAGCTTTTTCAAAGCTCTTGTTCAGTGTGAGGAAAGATAATTTGGTATTTCTATACCCACATAAATTAAATACTTAAGATTACAATTAGTACTGTTGAAATAAAGGTTAAAAACCCAAGCATACCGTAAGAAGTTTCACATAGCTTTTGGCCACCATGTTCCAAGTTTATCATGATCAGAGCTGATCAGAAAGTGGATGCTCTTCATCCAAAATCATGTCTGAAGTTTGCTTCTGAAGAAATGCTTGAAGTGATACATTTTGTATTGGAAATGTGCTCAAGAAAAATAAAGGAACAGTAATAATCGCCAAGTGCAACCAGCCCCAAATGATTGCATATTCTTTTTACAAAATAAAATTATTTTTTCCATAGCAAAGGCCTGGTTTTTAAGTTTTACCCTTCTGTAGTCATCAAGTCATCTTGATTTATGAATGCCACTGAGATCTAAACCAAAGTATGTTTAAGAATACTGCTTCAGTGGTTTTCATGGTATGAGCATTTAAATACAGCATACAAAACCCCTGGAGTTTAGATCAGTTCAGTGCAAGAGCTCTGTGTGGACACGTGTTCTTCTCAGATCAAGCCCATGTTACTCATTTATAAGCCACACACTTGAAAAACCCACTCTGAAGTGAGCAGATGGAGCATCAAGCTTGGGGTACACATACTCTCCTCCTCTAAACCCCAGCTACAGCTAAACTGCTACAAGAACGTAAAGCAGCTTTTCCTTAAATTGCCAAC